TACAACCCTCTCATACAAGCCACATTTTTGGAGAATTTGTGATATTGTTGTCACATGCACACAGTGACCACTCTTTGTCAAAAATTCCTGCAGGTTGCTGTAGGTCTCTTGTTAGCCTCTCTGACCAGTTTCCTCCTGGCTCTTTCATCCAGTTTGGAGCGACGTCCTGATCCAGTGAGGGTCTTTGCTGTACCAAATACCTTCCACTTCTTAATAATAGACTTCTAAGCATTGATAAAGCCTTTGAATTTTTTTTGTATCCATTTCCTGACTTGTGCTGGTTTTTGTGATTCTATTTATTTTTATTTTTTTTACTTTTTTTTGTTTTTTCTGACATGTTGGTGTTAAATCTTTCACTTGGATGTTATAAGTTGCACTGAGTAAATACTGCTGAATAAAACAAAAACTGTGTCCATTGAAAACAAATATTATAGATCATACAATGAAAGTCAGTGATGTCCAAGACAACATTGGACCCCACTTACTTTCATTATAGGAATTAAAAAATATTTAGACATTTTTTCAGAATAAAGAAAGTCATAGGGATTCAGAATAACATGAGGGTTAAGTAGGCTATATTTTCATCTGTTGATGCAATAATAATCTACGAAAGAGTTCAAAACAAACAGGAGGGAGATGTCTGATGTTTTTACAATCATAATATCCTCAGTTACTGGATTACTACCAAATTTTGCTATAAGTTTGATAGCATCATATAATAATTGCTGTTAATAGTGTTCATCGTCTGTTTGATTACGTCTTTAATTGATTTTTCCGTACATTTCTGCCATATGTACATTAACTGACAGTCACCACTGATAAGCTATACTAAATATATTGTAGAAACTTACATTTCTGTAAAGCTGCGTTGCAACAATTTGTATCGTGAAAAGAGCTATACAAATAAACTTGAATTGTATTGAATTTAATTGAATATATGGATATATGCCTTGGCAATCTAGCAGCTAATAGTACAGACTGGCTGCTAGAGAAGAGTTTTTTCTCTGTTTGGTCTATGGAGCTCGGGAGGGGAGGCAATAGTGTTGATCTCACACGTAATGACCAGTAGCTGGTGGGATGAGTCCATCCATCTCTGTGAAGTAAACAGGTCCCAGCTGGGCTCCTGCATTCGGGATGGAAAAGGGAAGTGAGGCCGGCTTCACTCGCCTCCCCTAAATAAAACAGGCGACAGGATGCACCCGCACTCGAGAGGACTGACACACCATCTAGTCGCTACAGGGGAGGAGCAGCTTCCGCTGTCATGGGTGTCAAGTCCACTATTAGACTGCAGAGTGAATCCACATGGTGCCTGGAGTATAAATTGAGACTTCCCATGTGTTAGTGGGAGTGGAGATTCAGACAATAAATCTGTACTCCAATTCAACCTGTGAGCAATCTATCCTGCATAGCCATCACAAGCCGCCTCCAGCATTATGAGGGACGACATTTACTACTTTGTAATTTGTGTCGTTATATTAGACAAATTGTCCAACTGCATGAAAATGGATGCAATGGCTACATTTCCCTAAAGATTTTTTTTAAGGAAAAGTTATAATACTAAAGTACACAGTGGCTAAATTGACCTGAATATTTAATGATATAGCTTTGCCAAGTTATTGCACACACATTGTATTACATTACAAACAGCACTTATAATAAACATTCTATACACGTGCAGCAGGGAACTTCATTAGTATTGATTAGCTGTGATAATGATTTAATAATCTCATTAAAGAACATTGTTCTTATATAATGAAAGACATCTGAAAGAGTCATAACATAGCCTTGTTTTGACTGCTTGAATTTGGTGTAGTGGCAAACAACCAGTTTAATAATTTGCCTTATTCACTTGCAGATGAATTTGACGAGGTTGGCATTAGTCAAGTTATCCTTTCATTGCAAAAGCATTCCGTTTCTTTCTCGACTGTAAGAAATATTATAATGATGGGCAATTTATCAAATAATTGTTCATACTATGTTTTGACAGACACATTATCCAGTAAAACAAGTCATTAGCATGGGAGACACAACAAGTTAATGGATGTTCCGTCCTTCAGCACCTCAGCAACTGATCTGGACATTTATTAACTGGTGCTTGGCCATCATTCCCCTTCTGAACACCAAACTAATTCTTCCAGCAAACATGTCTCACCTTAAAAATTTAGAAGAGGCCATATGCTTTCGCTTGCACACTTCCTTGAGTAGCCATCTTAGCTTCATACCATAATTTAAATCATATCAATATGAATGGAAAATAGAAACCATATTTGGAGAATGAAAGCTTTTTGTTGCTTACTTATTTTAGATGTATTTAAAAGTTTTATGTTGTATTGTAGTTTTTCCTGTGGTAAACAAAATGTGTGCTTGTTCTCTTATTTCCTTTTTAACAATACAGGCCAAAAAATGCCCGGTCCATTCCCCTTTGACATAAAGTTCATCCATCTATTCCAGAGGTTAAAGACAGTGAACCTAACGTTCTGTCCTCCAAAAGTAAAGGCCCGTTTCCCTTATTACAAAACTGAGAACTGTAATTCTATAGCAGTAGGCCTACAAATGTTAGTGAGGATCAAATATCCAATTAACATTTGCTTAATATAGCTTTACCTGGCATTTTAGATACAAAAAGTCAAGATTATAAGGGCTGCATGAGATACTTTTGACATCAATGAGCATTAATTCTGGTTACCACTCTTTAGAGGTATCACCTTTCACAAACCTATCTCAAAAATGAACTCCAAAATATACAGGAAGATTAAATGCCTGTCTCTATAATATATTAATTCAGATGGACAGTGAGCTAAATCAAAAATCTGATGCTGCTAATTTCTGTTTTCATTTTTAGAATAATGCTATAGTTGTGAATATATCAGAGCTATGTGCAAACCTAGGTAGCAGGGCTAAATTCTTGTCTTGATGAGAGTGCTGCCTCAGTGTAGATGTACTTGAAGCTGTCAGCAGCATGGCTGTGCGCTCTCGACTGCGTTCAGAGATGCGGCTGATGGAAGTGGCGCCAGTGAGCGCCGATGGATCACATGTCAAGTAACCTACTACACAGGTACACTAATGCACAGACAGTTTAAGTACTAGTAAATCGGGGCCTTACTAAAGTCAGTCAAAGGAAAGTTTATTTATTTATTTAATTAAATATAAGTCATAATTTCTCAAAAATTTAACACATTTCAGTAATCTATGAACGATAAGTTACAAGTTAAGTCGCGTCGTCGCGTTGGCTTAGATGGTAACCATAGCAACAGCACATTGCTCGACGCTTTCTATTTTTTACTGTAGACTACAATTTTGGGGGAAACCACAGAATAACAAAATTGACATACATTTAGATATCATCAGTGCATAATCGTAAAAAGAAATAATGCTTTGTTTAATGCGCAAAAATACCATTTTGGTTGCGGGAGAGCCAACAAATTGCGCACATAAATGTATGAAATTTAATTGAAATTAAACGACAAATTTATTTTAAATTTAAATAATTCTAAAAATAGAAGGAAAATGTGCAGACGGTTTTGTATCTAAATTCTACGTAAATCAAAATATTTAAATATAATTTCAAATTAACATTTCAAATTAAAACATTAATTTGCATTAGAGGAATGAAGTGTATCAATAGCCACTTTTCAAGTGGACCTTTGTGGGTTGATAATACTAATCAATCATAAATTGATTGTTCCAATTAAATCCAGCACTTAACATTATACTGGCTTCGTCTTTTTCGTTTAAATTGTAAGGGAAAACAATCATTTAGACCCACCAATTGCAGTGCAGATTAATAATAAAGTAAGCCTATTTTAATTTTCAGCACATGCACATCTTAAAAGCTATAATCAAGTCTACATCACTGAAACAAAAATGGTCAGTTTTAGCGAAAATATACACTATTTGTACTTCATTAAACTTTAATGTTGCAGGATTAATGTGGAGCCCCATCAAATATTAATACGTTAATGCATCTTACGTTAAATAATCACCACCCACTTTCTTCCAGAAGGAAATCGATAACATGAAACTGTTTGCTTTTCGTCTAATATTGCATATTTATGTTGTTACCGTCTTATTTAGAAAGATTAATGCATACAAAATAAAATGAATAATTAATACAAAAGTTAACACATGAACACTACAACAGATATAAGTATCTTACCAAATGAATTTGAATTATAAATTAATTCTGTCGTGACTCACAATAGTTAAAATAAATCATTTAAAATTTGGAAAGACATTTCATACAGAATTTCCTTCATATTTCCCCACCTTGTTGTGATCAATAAGCATCTCTTTTTGATGAAGAATACAATTATTCCGATAAGAATGACTGGTTTATTCAGATTTAATTGGACAATGAAATGTAATATCGTTGACAGTATGGTTGTGTGTGTGATTGATCTTTCTCACCATAAAATACTGACAAACCACTGTAATTCATTTGAGTTCATGGTCGCAAAATATTGATCTGTTGTAGCCTAACAAGAGTGAAAAATACTTAACCTTGAAATCACTGTCTCATTTTCGCATGATCAAAATATCCAAAGAGAAAATATCTAAACAACCGAGACTGCATAGCCAAGTTAATTATGTAATTGAATTTTTTGTTGTTGTTTTGAAAAATCGTTGGTGTTTGGTTTAATAAATCACTTTGAGCTGCCCTGTGCTGAGAAGGGAATTCAAATGCGTTTCATTGAACAGACTCGTCGTGGTTTCTTTAGCCAATTGGGTCTCTCACCCCAGAATTGGAGGCTTAATTTTACCCAGCCTCTTTGGCATTTTGATTGATGTTCCCGTGGCTCCATCCGGCAGGCTATAGCTATATGGGTAAAGGGAGGCAGTAAAAAAGACAATCGTCTGTAGTTCAGTCCTTCTCACACATGCAGTCAATGCTATTAGATAACAACAAGTCTGGACTAAACTGCGTTTTAGTTGCTGTATGATAACTAGGGGGACGTGGAGGATCCTGTAGGCTCGCAGGAGCGCGCGCGCTTCTCCACACCATGGATCATATGGGAGCGCATCTCCACCAGACGCACGCAGACACCATCAGTTTTGGGATCGATCAGATTCTTCACAATGCAGACCAGGGAAGCTGCATGATCTCCAACCCCAGAATGCAGGATCTGGACTACGGGTTGGGCTGCATAGTCAGCACAGCCTATAATACCATGACTGGCAACTACAATGTCAATAACTCGGCTGGATACAATGGAAACTCGTGCAGCGTTGGCTCCCTCAACGGCTCGTACAACATGAACTTGGGCACGAATGTTAATGGAAATTGCATTAATTCTTCGGGAGTGATCCGGGTTCCAGCGCACCGGCCGCTGAGCAGCGTTCACTCGTCCATTCCCACCAGCGCTGCCACTGTGCCAAGTATGGGAAGCATGGGCACCATTAACAATCTCACGGGATTATCGTTTCCATGGATGGAGAGTAACAGGAGATATACCAAAGACAGATTTACAGGTAATAGAAATCACTCTTTGAAGCTTTGCAGTGGTATTTCGATGCTTTATTTGAATCCGTTCTTATTCGAGATTGCATTGTAAAACTGTTTTCATCGTGTTTAATCATATCAGTAATTCAACCTATCAGTGATCAAAGCGGTCGAAAAACTACAATGACTTATTTTAGGTTGTAACTTTGTCACAACTTTGATTTTTCATTTTTTTTAGGCATTGAACTTTTTACATTTTCATTAATTTTTAATTTGGTTGAATTTCTATGTAGACTCGCAAATCCATGAATTAAAATAATTCAAAAGGGCTTTACTGTTAAAGCCACTCCATTAAATAGTTTAATTTGGTTTCTGACAACTTTATAAAAACAACTTAAAATGTAAACGTTACTGGTCCCGCGAATTAATAGCATAAACGAACGTTTCTATACACATTAACAGTCATTGCAATGCATCGATAGGCCAAAGAAAATTATCTTAAAAATTTATATACATACAAATGTTTTTCTGTTGGGTGTGTCAATGGTATAATTAATTATAGAGTTTATGATTGTCTGTTTTATATTTAATTAATGACATAAAGTCTTTTTTTCCTCACATGACAACTTAAATGTTGATTGATCCTGTCTGTAAATGTTCCACATGGTCATCACAGTTTTAGCAAAAATGTGAAAGTTAAAGTAAAAATGTGCTGTTGTTACCTTAATGAGCTATTGATTTGACCCTTAAAAATGCCTTCACTGATGTAACCTCATGTAATCAGGTTGCTTCAGTTAAAATCAATAATATTTTCGACTCGAATAAAATCACTTAATTTAGATGTTACCATATGAGGCATATATCTTGTTACCTGACAAAACATTTTACAGTGATCGATCGATCGATTGATTGATTTATAATTTACATTTCACACTGTCGTCGTAATAGACCTAAGAAAATGCAAAAAAGTTCTTGTCCAGTGGTGTGGCCGTCACTGTTCCTGTCTGTTTGCTTGCTTGGCGGAACTTATTCGATATATTTCGTAATTGTTGCATGTTTTTCAAAAGACAAATGTCATCTTTCATCTCTGAAAGTCTCATTTGCTTCTCACTGCTTGGCTCTGTCGTTTTGCTGATTTCTTCCGCTTGCTTTCACTCTGTCTCTCAATCTAGTGGCCCTCTCACCGTTCACTGTAACACGTCGTATAGGTCACCCGTACCAGAACCGAACGCCTCCGAAGAAGAAGAAGCCCCGGACGTCGTTCACGCGCCTCCAGATCTGCGAGCTGGAGAAACGCTTCCACCGTCAGAAGTATCTGGCGTCAGCTGAGAGGGCAGCCTTAGCGAAAGCACTTAAAATGACTGATGCGCAGGTCAAAACATGGTTCCAGAACAGAAGAACGAAATGGAGGTGAGCTTTTGTGATCTAATCATGCTTTTACACTCACACGTAATGCATTCTTTTTCGTCTCACCACTAAACCCAGTTGAGTAAAGACCTCTATGAGGTCAGTTGGGTCAGTTCCATAATGCATTCCATATTGTGCTTTTGGAAGGCCTGCTCATGTAATTCATTCAGTAGGCCTATATGTTAATTCAACCAATACATCAATATGTTGAACTGACTCCATTTATTTTGGAATGACCAATATTTGTTGACTGTGGCCTTTTTCTTGGCGGTGTAAACAGGTTATATTCTTAATGATGGACTTCTGCCAATGTCTTTTTTACTCCAGCTTTTACTATTTTATTACACATTCTGCTAGGCCTGGAACTTAATAGGAGCAGACCTAAAGTCATTTTATGATCCAGTTTTTAGACGAGGACAGAAATTATGCAGTTATACCGCAACAATGTTTCCCTAAAGTCTTAGTTGTGTTAGAAGTTTAATTACCTTCTGTTCAAGCAGGATAATTGATGTGATGGTGTTTGTGCTGATTATTATATAACTAATTATTATTATTATTTATTATCACAACAATTGAAGTGCACAGACATTTATGATTGTGTTGATTGTGATTTGACTACATCACTGATCTGAGAACCTGAAATGTAACTTATATTGAATTAAATGTAGTATAATTGATCTATAGGCAAATATATATATAGCCTCCCTCTCCCCCTCTCTCTCTCTCTCTCTCTCGCTCTCTCTCTCTCTCTCTCTCTATATATATATATAATCTGCATTTTCAAACAAGATTTCCATGTACTTCATAAACCTAATGACAAAAGGTATTCTTTGGTATTAGGATCACCGCTTTGTATTTTTGATTAAATTTAGCCAACCACTAAAACGGCTATGAGAAATCATGGCTGAAATCACCGACTAAATGACTCCTATCCAAATCCATGCAGGCGGCAGACGGCAGAGGAGAGAGAAGCCGAGCGACAACAAGCGAACCGAATCCTTATGCAACTTCAGCAAGAAGCTTTTCAAAAGACTATAAACCAACCTGTTACTCCGGACCCAGTCTGCCTACACAACAGCTCTCTATTCGCACTTCAGAACCTTCAGCCCTGGACTGAGAACACGGCGAAAATCAGTAGCGTTCCTAACACTGATTAAGAGACTTTTATGGACGTGCGATGTGCAGAGGAATATTTCAACATCACATTATTTTCTTCTTTTTAACGTAAAATCAGTCTTTAATTTGTAATATGCAGCTTGTAAAAAAACAGCTAAAAGAATATTTGCTGCTCTCCGTTACAGTCGTGCAGAATATTTTTTTTTGATTTTATCATTTCGATTTCAACAAAATGTAAACATAAAATGCTGTCGTATTCCGCTTGCATCTTAAACATTAATTTTATTTGGTATACTTCCAATAGCCTAACGTTTGTGGAAACACTTTATAATAGCCTAACTTTCATTAATAAGTCACAAAATATTACAAATAAAATATTAACAAATAAAAACGAATATATAATATATATACGAATATAATTACGAATATAATTACGAGTTGTTACCACTGCGTTATTGGTGAATAGCTATCTAAACGCCACCTCTCTGTTGTGCATGGAAATACTGTGAGCTTCGTTATAATTAATATCCTCGTCATTGTCAGGATTAGACACATGCAGGGTGAAAAGATAGGCTTACCACCTCACTCTCTTCAAGCACACCCCGAGAAGCTTGCACCTCTTTAACCCACAAACGAGTGAAAACGAAATGCTTGAGGATCTGCTTGCCAAAATAACGGTGATTAAACTCACAGACCATCTGACCGTTTACAGCCGCGGTTCCCTCAGTGAGTGTAGGCACTAGTGTTGGACAAACGTAGGCTACTTAAAACACTGGCAAAATTGTAGTTAGGCTATTTATGTGGGTACTTGGAAGACAAAGGAGTTTAAATTTAAATATCTAATTTTTAAGTAAAAAGTAGGCTATTTTAATAGTTTTAAATAGACGATTCTGGGTAAAAAGCTATAGCCTATAACTGATGAACAGTGAATTTTTTTTTCGATAGGCCTATCTTTTTATTTTTATTTTTTCATATTCGTATGTAGGCTTAGGCTACTTGGAGGGATTGTATTTTGCACGTTTGCTAATTAGCATATCACTTGCAGCAAAAAATTGTCCTGTGAATTAAAATATATTCTACAGGAAAAATGGGCCTATGGCTACATGAACGACTTTAATTCTTCATGCTTGTGTTTAGACTGTCTTTTTTATTCGGAGGAGTAAATTACTACAGCACTTGTTATATGCAGAAATATGTTGTTGCGACGTTCCAGAAAGATTGTTTGTTAGCAAATATGTTCTTCATTTTACATTATTTGTCAATTTTAACTTTTCTGTATTACACTACAATAATACTGTTGTTTGTAAAACAGTACACTACCCCCCCCCCAT